GAATACTTTCAGAGCTGGAGCGTCGGTGTCCATTCGAACGACATGGCCAAGCCAGCGGAGCCGCTGTATTTTAATTCGCTGCACTATGTCTATGTCCTTGTAAAGCTCATACAGCTCATCGTTCCATCGTCTGCGGTACTCGCCGTCGCCAACGCGTAAAGGACCGTAAATCTTCCGCAAAATCTTTCTCTCAAACACCCCAAGAGCCGCCTCATCGGATGTTGTCATTGTCCATGCTTCTGCGCCATATACCAGCACGGGCATGATGAGTGAGGTGTTGATCGAATGGACCAAATGTTTGCGGAATATCCAACACAAAGACAAACAAAACGATGGCCACTAGCGATGTTCTTCAACATGTTGGACATTACAGCTCTTGCAGCCTACATTGTCTACGATTTGAATAACCCTATGTTGCCTTGGAGAACAAACAACAAGCGTAAGCAGATCCTGCGCAGCTTGGCTGAAGCATTGTGTATGCCCATTATTGAAGCCAGAGCCATAAATCGTCAAGTGACGCGAAATTTTTCGACTAAAATTGCTATTGAAGCATATTTCAACCGACCGGTGGAATCAATGGTGTCAACAGCAGCATCAACATCTGCCGCAGCGCGCACGCCAAAACCTGTGTCCGGATCTTGCTATTTATGTTACGCACAAGAGGAAAAACGCCGTAGAAAAACCAGAAAGCTGTGCGACAAATGTAAGAAGCCAATGTGTCTTGAACATTCGGTCACATCAACAAATTGCTCTATTTTCCATGATTTTCCTTAGATATAAGATGCATTTTTATAATTTTTATAATAAAAGTCAATAATATAATGTGCGAAATGAATATTTTTAATTTTTCAAATAAAAAAATAATATAAAAAATGTTTTTTTTTATTATTATGAGGATTTTTACTATTGGGGTACAAACGTATCCCGGGTGTGTGTTTACGTATATAATGTGTTTGGAAGGCTGTAGGTCCTGAACCAATGGTCCGATCTGGTTCAAATTTTGAATTTGAACTCAAAACTAAATAATCGTCCTAGATCCGAAGTAAGCGGTATAGAGGTATAGCGGTTCAAAAGTTACAACACTTCAAATTTGAAAGTGGATACATTTGTACCCGGGTGTGTGTTCTAGGGTTAAAGTGTAACCAATTATGTGTTCTTGGTGACTTTAATTTACCTAATATTAATTGGTGTATTAATTCATCAGGCTCCAATCTCACAGCTCATAACATCATTGCTCATCATGAATTATATTTCATAAATAATATTTTAAGTCTTAATTTAAAACAGGTTAACAGTTTTGTCAAAAGCTAGGTGTTTACAGTTTCGCTTCAGTTCCGGCTGACAACAAATTAGCGTTTAACTATGCATTGTGTGATTTCTTAAGTTTCAATTACATTAATTGCTATAAATAGGGATCATTTATTTGCTAACCAAGATACCTCAAATTGCTTCTCAATTCTTAGATCAACTTTATTTGAACTTTGCTTAAATAATATTCAAATATTCTAATTTTCTTGAACCATTGACGACCGGCTTGCTTTAGATCATAGATAGCCTTTTTGAGTTTGCATACTTTATCCTCACTCGCCACCTCCTGTCCAAGACCTTAAGGTATTGGCCCAATGCACGCTTGCTTTGCTTGCTTTGCTTACTTTAGTTTGCTTTGCTTTACTTTGAAGGCTTTTATGGCCTAATGGTAGCTTTGAACACTGTCATAGTAGTCAGCTGATTTTCAATGCGCGCAAATATACCCGCC